ATCCTAACTTACCTCTCTGGCTGTAAGGATAAAATGGAGGAGTGGAGAAGGATAATGTGAGCCACTTTGGGTCCTCACTAGGGAGAAAGGCAGAAAAATGGGCATCATAAAGTGTGAGTCTTGGGCTGATATAAACTCTTAGAATTTTTGCTACTGAACACTGTCCTGCTGGTCTACTTTACTAGTCTTCAATAGATCTAATTCTCAATATGACCAGATTTGTGGATACTTAAATCCAGAGGTTGGAGCCATGAATAGATGAGATGGATCTTTCAATGAACCTGATAAAAGTTCCAGATTTGCAGAAAAATCTGAAATCTAAACGATCAAACATTAGGGGTTAGAACACTCCCAAGTTATAGAAGCAGCTCCTGAAGCTTGAAGAAATGAATGCCACAGTGACCACTACTGGGTAACCACAAGAGTATGTGAGCCTTCAAGCCCTGGTTTATATCAATTAAAGGCAGGAAGAGGGTTTTAGGACTTTTTCCACCACTGTGTTGACCTTTGAGGGAGGGCTCCTTGGGGCCATGCTTGGCAGCAACCATCTAAGCAACTTGCTACTGCACAACTTGCATGATTCACCCAGGCCCAGCTACTTGCTACTGTTCAAGAGCAGCCACCTCATGAAGGCCAGCATGGTATAGTCATTAGAATTTCAGAATAGGTGGGATCTGGGTGTCCCAGGTTTGAATCCTCACTCTTCTGTGGGTGACCTTGATCCTAATGACCTCTCAACCCAATCTAATGTCAGAGGGCTGTTGTGAGGATAAAATGGAGGCGAGGAGAATGATGTAAGCTGTTTTGAGTCCCCATTCTAGAGATAGGCAGGTTATAAATGAAATAAATATCAATATAACTAAAGGTGGTGGACAGATAAGTGTGGGTTGGTGGTTGGGACGGAGAGAAAGAAGCAGGAAAGGTGAGAAAGGGGATTGCCCAGAGGAGGGAAAGAAGAAATAGTGTGGGGAGGGGAATACTGGGGGAAATGAGGTGCCCCCTTGAGTCCTTGTGGATCCCATGCCTGTTTTGTATAATTTTAAAATATTGTACTTTGCTCCAAGGATTTCAGTGATAATTTAGCTTTATAACCATTAGGTTGTGTTAAAAGGTAAGGAGTTGTCAAAAGTCAGTATGCTCACTTTGGTTATCCAATTCAGTATCATTTTTAATATTTAAAAAGCGAACTATATAATTTGACTAGTGTTTCCAAGCAAGTTCTTTAACTACTCTGTAGTCCTGTTCAGTAGGATACATTATTTTTCTCACATGGAATTGCAGCTTCTACTTTGGGGTTCTGTTTCTTCAATTTAGGCTGTCATAAGGCTTTACTCTGTGTATCTTAAGTTTGGAGGTTAATCCAACTACACAGTAAATATCTAAAGGAATTATCTTCCTTGGGAGATCCACCTGTACCAGCCCTTTCCACCTTCCAGGAGAATGGTTGAGATCTCTTTGTTCCTTCAGTCTTTCCATTGGCAGTGATCCTCTTAAACGTTTTGCAGCTGCTTTCATTCACTCGATGATTATATGGTTTTGTCATTCCAGAATAATTTTGTGATATGTATTGTGCATAGAACCTATTATGCAAAATGCCTTGGAAACAAAGAGATGGGAAGGCAGTATAAAAAAGACATAATAAAGTATTGGAGAGCGCTCTTGTTTTATGTGTATATCTGGCTACCTCATGGATTTGTGGGTTGTTTCTTGAGTATCCCAGAATCTCACCAACCCCCTCCCCCCGGTTCCAGGTTCAATTCCTGAGGGTCTTTATGTACTTTTTAAAAGTTGCATAGAAATGAGATTTTCACTAAGTATTTATTGTTTCACGTCCCTCGTGTGGAAGAATTCTGTCTTAAAACAAAGTTACAGGAGGGTTGTCAGTTTCCATACCTGGCAAGAGAAATTTACATTTAGTGGTAGCTGTTGTACCACTATGGCTAAGAGGCTGAGCTGAAATCAGGGCGTTTCACAGTTCAGATCTTTCCGCTGCCGTGATCTCTGGATCTGTTCATCACTGCTGTATGTGAAGTACTCTGAACAGTTGAAATAGCTATATAAATGTTATAGTATTATAAGCTGAGTACACCTGGTATATGTTTGGAGGCAACATGATAAAATAGCTTTGCTGAAGCTAAGCAGGTAGGGGCCTGGTCTACACCAGGATAGAAGGCCTCCTTGGGGACTCTGTGAATGTTGCCTTGAGTTCCCTGGTGGAAGGAAGAATGTTTGTGATCTTAAATTACACTCTGGATGTGGAGAACCACCACTGTCTGAGATGAGGGATTGTGGTTTTGGCAATGCAACAAGTACATGACCATCACACTAGTTCTTAAAATTTCTTCCAAACTTATGTAAAATTAAAAATCTCTTTTAACGTGGATAATAAGTAGAAATCTCGGTTGTACATATGCAACATTGTGCATGCATTTTTTGGATCCTGTTTCATCAGGATAAAACTCTTCAATAGGAAATCCTTCCGAGTAAAGATTTGTATTTGAAGTATCTACTCTGCCACTGTTGCTGGGGGCCACAACTGAAAGAACTACATAGATATGGAGAATTTTGGGGAAAGCTTGTGCTGCATAACAGCTGCATCCACATAGCATCCTTCTTGGAAGCATTCTCCTTGGAAGATTAATATGTATCTAAGATTAATATGTTTCTAATGAGACGGGATGCATATAAAGGGGAAAAAATACTCATTTTTCCTACTAGCTGTTGGAGACCTGAGCACAGAGACCAACATGACTGCCCTGTGAAACTATAGAGACTTGGTAGTTGAAGTATAACATCTTGGTGAGCAAAAGGCTCAGAACTGTGGTCGCTGGCTTTTTGCTCCAGACTTTAAAGAATTCAACTGTTCTGCTTGCTGTTGTGAAAGATATTGGGGCATACTTTCTAGATTGAGCCTTACTGGTAAACAGTAAAGCACCTTAAGAGGGACTAAAGTTGATGCTAGGCTAAGGGCACACCTTCTTAGAAATTAGTTGAAACTTATTTCTCCCATTGGTCAATGTCTTAATGAGCCTCTTTGGGGAAAACTTGTTCTGCATAACAACTGCATCCACATAGCAGCCTGCTTGGAAGATTAATACGTATCTAATGAGGCAAGCTGCCTATACTGGAAAAAAATGCTTCTCTTTAAAATATGCCTGAGATGCTTTTTGTTAAGACATACTTATTTGGAGAAAATGGGAGCTGCAGAATTTTTAAAAAGGACCCATGCTTTCAAGAATACTATATTTACCCAAATCTCATGCTTACTATATGCAAACATTTTTGAGAAGAGATTCCCTCATAACTTCCGCAGCCGCAAAAATCATTTGCAGACTTGGTATCTTAGTCAGCCATCAGGTCTCTCTGCTTTCCCGAGGACTCTATTTTTCAGCAAATGCTTGCATGAGCATGTGATAAAACACTGTAGGATCCAGACAGTTTTTGTCTTTGCTGCTCACCATTTTAGAAGCAGTTGTAGTTCTTCAGATTTTCCGTGAGGCCCTAATCTGGATTGGGCATGTGGTGCAATGTCCTCAGGAGCTCTCGCCCCTTGCATGCCTTTTCAGGGACAGAAACAGGCTGTTTTGTTTGGCTTTCATTCCGCACTGCATCTGTGAGAATTTTTGTTCACTTTACAACAGTGTCAGTGAACAAGATTCTCACAGATGTACCAATTTGCAGTGTAGTTGGATGCCAGCAATCACATCGCCAGTCTCTTAACTTTGGAGTAAGGAGGGGTTTTGGTGTTTGTATATAGTTGTGGTTTTCTTGTGCAGGTTTAAGTGTGTCTCATATCTGTGTGAAAAGCAGGACAAGGCAGGGGGCGGATGAATGGTGTGTGTGGGTAACAGTGAGCTGAATGTGCTTCCTTCTTTAGCCATTAAAGATGATGAGCAAAAAGATTATGGGTACATAATAATCATTAGGATCTGCTAATTGGGATCCTGCTGCTTTTCTTGATGTAGGAATGCTTAACTAGAACATAAGTTTAATCTTTTGTAGTCTGCTGGTGATACGTACAGCTCTTTGATTTTTAGGTTACACGTTTTCAACAACTGCCTAATGATGAAAGTGAAACAATGATTCCTGTTCTGACTTCCAAAAAAGCAAGCGAATTACCAGTCAATGAAGTTGCAAGCATTCTTCAGGTACTTAATGACAATAAATGTTCAAATAAAACATCTACTTGCTTACTTTAGTATATGGTAAATTCATTCCAGTGGATAATCTTTACTTTTTGCAGCCCTTACTAAATACTGCTTTCTTCTTTCAGTAGCACATCAGGTCCATCAAAGATTTAATTTGTAAACTGAAATTATTTTGCATCTTGATTTAATGTTTTAGAGTTCTGGGCACCATTAATAATAAATATTTTCTGTGGTGACACATCACCTTTGGAACGCCCTTCCCCTTCAGGCCCTCCTTGCACCTACTTTACTATCTTTCTGCTTAGCACATAAAAGAATGCAATCTTTTTACTCAGGCTTTTAATTCATGGTTTAATTTACCAGCTTTATAATGGCCATCTCTGTTTTATACATAGTTTTTAATGCTGCATCTGGGTTTTTTAAAATGGTTTGTGTCTTATTCTGGGTTTTAATTGTAAGCTGCCTCAAGAAGGACTCCGAAAAGGTGGCATAAAAATACTTTAAACAAATAAAATATGTAGATCATTCCAAAACAATAGCCCCATTTCTTAAAATGCCCTTGTCAAAGCTGACACAGTATACACTGGCAAATGCATATTATAAAACCAAACATTAATGATTAAGAGTTCCCATTGTTCCTACATGCAGCAATAGCAGTAAAAATCAATTGATCAAACTATATATTATGTTGCTTTCTTGGCAAGCTTCATATTATGACCACTATAGGTAACATTATAAAATATGACATATCATGAAGACATAATCCAGTAGAATAAATACTTCAGCTGAATCAATTGTGCATTATATATCAGAACTAGAGAAATTCTGGATGTATACAGATGTTAGACAAACTGAAATTGAACAGATTTACCTGTGAAAGACATGAACACTGCTTGTTTTTAGTACTTACACACTCCCTTGTTCCTCCCTTTGTGCATGGAGCATGATTACAGTCCTCCATCTCCAGTTTGCCAGGATATTCCAATGTAGGTGCTTGGCAACTTGGAGTTTTACTCTTCACAAGCCAGGAATCTAAGCTTGTATTAAACTAAGATGCTGAGCCACTGAGTTTGGAAGTCACAGGAAAATGACACTTTGTCAAACTGGAGTTTGAATTGAGCTCTGTATGTGGGGTGAAGTGGGAAGAGTAAGTAGAATCTGCAAACATGCTGTATTAGTGCTTATCACTGACACAATCTCTAATCTATTTGGCATGACATATGAATTCAGCTACTGTTTTCAGGTTTTGCCCTGATGGTTGATAGCTGGGTCATTCAGATCCCTGAAATTTATGTCTGTGAAATCAGATTGGACTAAAGAGTTTTTCCCCTCAAGGAATAGCATATAAGCAGAACTTCTGTAGTTTTTTTTAGTATTCTGATTAGAGTAAAACAAAATCTTAACTTTGCATGTGTAGAGCGTGTGTATATGTACACACATATTTATATACATCGGTATATTTCCACAGGCTGACCTTCAGAATGGCTTGAGAAATTGTGAAGTTTGTCATAGACGGGCTTTCCATGGATGGAATGAGTTTGATATCAGTGAGGATGAGCCACTGTGGAAAAAATACATTTCTCAGGTAGGTGTCTCTGGTCTTTCTTGTAGGGTCTTCAGTGATATTGGGATGGTCAATAGTGTGCTATCCTGTTCCTGTGTAATGGAAAAATCTGGTGTGGGTGTGTTAACCTCACTTTAGAGAATAGGAGTAGTCTACTTAAAGAGACTAGGTGAGCATATTCTCTAAATTGGGAGAGCACACTCTAAAGAAGAGATTTCACTTGACAGTTTGATCTCTTGTGTCAAAGATCTTTATCAACATAGAGGTTTTAGAACAGCCTGATTCCATGTGAAAACTTGACTGCTGTTGTATAATCATACAGTTAAATAGCGTGTTTCTTAAAAACTTAAAATTGTTACTTTGCTGTATTAGTTAACCAAAATAACCAAGTTAACTTAATGCTGATGACGCAAATAGGTCTTTTTTTACTGCCTGTACCCATGACAAAGTAGAATAAAATATTGTTGGAAAATTTGGGCTAGGACCATGAAATGAAGCAGAAGAGAGACTCTCAGAATTCTGTGAAGACCATAAGTTGTTCATTGTGAACACATGTTTCAGACAAGCTAACAGATTATTGCATATGTGGACCTCACTGGATGGCCAATACAGAAATAAAATGGATTATTTAATCAGAAGCAGAAGATGAAGAAGCTCTATTCTCTCTGCTAAAATAAGTTGAAAAGCTGACTGTGGTACAGACCATGAACTGTTAATAGCAAAAATTAGAATAAAGCTGAAGAAAAACACCACAACATTCTTGGGGTCAAAATATAATCTAAACAGCATTGCTGAAGAGTTTAAAGACCATGTAAAGAACAGATTCTAACAGATTTGAATGAGAACCAGAAGAACTGAGGGTTGAAGAAGAAGAAGAGATTGGATTTATACCCCGCCCTTCACTTGGAGTCTCAGAGCGGCTTACAAACTCCTTTCCCCTCCCCACAACCGACACCCTGTGAGGTGGGTGAGGCTGAGAGAACTCTGACACAAGCAATGTTCCCTCTAAGGTGTGGAGTCTTAGGAGCAAAAATTCTACTTTGTGAGCGACTGGCATGAAAGTTGTGAGCAAGAGATTTGGCTGCTGCATCAATTAGTTTGCTCTGGAGCCATCCTTCCTGAACTAAGACAAAAATGTGTGAGCCGGAGGCTAAAAAACTGTGAGCTAGCTCACACTAACTCAGCTTAGAGGGAACACTGGACACAAGGTGCTCTTTTTCAAGGACAGCTGTGCCAGAGCTTGTGACTGACCCAAGGTCACATCAGCAGGTGCAAGTGGAGGAGTGGGGACTCAAACCCGGTTCTCCCAGACTAGAGTCCGCACACTTAACTACTACACCAAACTATAGATATTATCAAGGAAGAATGCATAAAAACTATGCCTGTAGCCAAAAGAAATGGAAAGCCTCACTGGCTGAATGACTGAAAAAAATGTTAAAGACAGGTGAAAAGCCAAAGTAAAAGCGTTTCAGTGATTGACAGGTAGAGACAAAGAGAATTATTACAATAATCAGTGTAAAGAAATAGAAGAGGACAACAGAAAAGAAAGAATGAGAAATTGGTTCCACAAGAATCAAGAAATCAAGGGGAAATTTAAAGAACTGCCAGTTCTGAAAAAAATAGATGTCAAAGACTGAGGCAACTTGGATCATTGCATTAATTTCTACACAAGTAAGTGATGCTCAAAATCTTACAACAAAGATTCTTACCTTATATGGACTAAGAAATGCCAAATGTTCAAGGTGGATTTAGAAAAGGAAGAGATACTAGAGATCATACTGCAATATGTTACTTACTGGATCATACTGTATGTGTGTCGTAATATTGGATTGTTTTGGTGTGCCACCTGTACTGTGGATGAGAGGCTACTGTTAGGACAGAATATGGAGAAACAGAATGGTTTCTAATTGGCAAAGGTTCATACAAGGATGAGCTTTGCCTTTCTGTCTGTCCAATGTATATGCAGAATTTATCATACAGAAAGCTGGAATAGATTTAGATGAAGGTGGAGTGAAAATTGTTGAAGGAACATTAACAGTATGAGAGATGCAGATGACACCATATTACTGACAGAAAACAAGACTTGAAATGACTCCTGAAGAAGGTTAAAGCAAATAGTACCAAAGCAAGATTGCAACTGTATATCAAGAAGATAAAAGTAATACATATGGGGGAATTACACAGGTTTAAGGCTGATGATGAAGAAATTGAAATTGTTTAAGATTTTCTATTCCTTGGCTCCATCATCAACCAAAAGGGAGGTTGCAACCAAGAAGTCAGAAGGAGATTTGGACTGGAAAGGGCAGCCATGAAGGAGCTACAGAAAATCCTTAAGTGTAAGGCAGTGTCACTAGTGGTCAAGATGATTCATGCTGTAGTATTCCTGATTACTATGTATGGGTATAAAAGTTGGATAATTAAGAAAGCTGACAAGAAGAAAGTTGATTCATTTGGAATGTGGTGTTGGAGGGGAATTTTATTGATACCATAGACTGCCAAAAAGACAAATAGATATGGAAGGTAGATACGTGTGTTCTTTTTCTTTTTTTTAGGCCCACCGGAGGGGATTTTTTATTGCATTTTTTAATAGACTACAAACTACAATGGAAAATTGGGAAAGGGTAACTACATCTAGGGAGAAAGGAAAGAGAACCACTACTAACTAAAACCCCAAGTATAGGAGATCATAACAATAGCTTATATAAATGTTAATCTTAAATTGCTAGTATTACTTTGAACATAGTCGGTTATGCTAAGTTTTTAATCTTTTTATCCAATGATTTCACTGTTTAAGAGAACTCCCAGAGCATCCCATAATAAAACTAAAGTTTTAAGGCACAATTCAGAGTCCTTCAGCCTTCAGTTTGTCTTATCTTTTCTAATCCTCAATTTATATGTACGTTTGGGGGCAGCTGCACCCTTATCAGAAAAGAGTCCTTGTTGGAAGACACTGAGTCCAATTCACTACTGGATTTGCTGTCATCTTCATCCTTCTCTACCTCGGCTGTCTCCCCCAGCTGCACTCTCAGGAACTCGCGTGCTTTGGAAACAGTCAATCTTTTCTTTTTTTAGCGTGTAGTTTGAAAATGACATCTTCTGGAATTAACCATCTGTAAACAATACTGTTTGTTTGTAGAAAAAGGATTAGGTCTTTATATTTATTTCTCTTTTGCCTTATTTCAAATGGAATGTCTTTTAAAATCCTGATGGTGTTGTCCCCGATTTTCAAAGGTGGTCCTGTAGTTGCTTTCAGGATAGAATCCCTCACATGTTGCTTTGCGAATCTAACCACTATTTCCCCAGGCAGATTATTCTTTTTAATGCACACGGAATAGGACCTATAGACCACATCCATTTCGCTTGCAAGATATTCCGCTTTCAAATCTGTAACTGGGGCTAATGCTTCACTCAGAAGTTGCTTTAGATTCTCACCTTTTAATTCTGGGGCCCCTTGAAATCATAGGACCAGATTTGCTTTCTCCATTTGCAGCTGTAAAAGTTGTGATTCTTCCGAGGCTTATTTCTTTTCCAGCTTTTGCACCACTTTCTTGACTTTTTTAGTGTTGGTGTCCATTTCCTTCACCTTCTCAGCCGTTTGCTCCGTTATTTTTAAAGTCTGAGTCAGTTGGAGCTGCTGAGTTGCAAGATTCTGGTTTAGAGTCGTCAGCTGTTGTTTGATGTTAGTCATCTGGTCCAGCAGCGGGCGCAAGGAATCTGCCAACATTTTTGAGAACTCAGTGACCTCTTCTGGTTGAGGGCTCATGGTCCCGGCTACTTTCACTTTTGCTGGCTTGTTTTTCTCTGCCCTCTTCCCCGCCATCTTTATGGATTGTTTACTTTTATGAAAACTTGCTAAAATCTCTGAAATATGCCCATACGCTTATCCACGCTCTGGTAAGTCTCTCAAAACAAATTTCAACACTTTTTCTTCTGCTCCCCCCTTAGTATTTCGTTGTTTAGTTCATGCGCATGGGAGGGGCCCCTCCCCTGCTCGCTTTTTTCGCCATTCCCAGGGTGTAGCTTTCTTTTTAAATTCTCGTGTTCGCTTTAACCCGACTCACAGTTCATTGTTGGTCATACGACCTCGCTCAGAACACGTTAAAAATGCTTGATCTCCGACGCTTGTCCTGGTCAGCGGCTCTAGATACATACGGACACTCAGGGGCAGGACCGTCGGGGCGGAGGAGCACCTCAATTCCCCAGCATCGCGCTGGCGAAGAGGTCACCCCTAAAGAGCCCCATGGCTAGGAGCTTTTTGCCAAGGCTCTGGGGGGGTAGCGACCCGTCACCCCCCCTTCTTTCCGCTGGTGTGCAGATCACATCCCCAGGAGCTCCGGGAGATGCGTCCGCCAGTGTGTCTCCATAAATCGGAAGTCTGATACGTGTGTTCTTTTGATCACAGTATTAAGCTAGAGATCAAATGCCCACCATAACATTAGGAGGCAAAGGGTCACCTCTAGATCAAGTAGGTGATGACTCCTTTAGTGACTAGCCAGGCCCTGGTCCACAGTGGCAGTCGGTTTGTCGTCACTGATAAAGGGAGTATTAATCTGAAACTCCAGTGTCTTAAATTGTATAGAATTATAGTCTGTAGCTGTGTCATTTAAACTTCTGACTTTTAAAGTATTGAAGGTAGTAGTTGTATTATACTTAAGTGTTGTTCTGAATGTTTCTCAAATATTTTTTGCTTTGCAGTTTAAAAATCCCCTTATCATGCTTCTTCTGGCTTCTGCAGTCATCAGTGTTATCATGCATCAGTTTGATGATGCCGTCAGTATCACTGTGGTAAGACTATTTTTCTGCTTAAATAAAATTGTAAGATTGTGGCATTTCTCTTTGTGAATAAGTAGCAGGCAAGTCTTAAATCCTGTACTCAGTTGTGGTTCTAGAAGAAGGTGGTTGTGTAAGACAGAGGTGTTCCCCCGATTTTTGTTTACCTTAAAATGGACAGGATCCTTTGAGCCCCTTGCTATCCCTAACACTTCTGTCTTTACCACTTAAAGGCCTAGGTGGCTAGTACTTATAAACTCCCCCTTATGTATTTAATTATTTTTGCCCAGCCTTCTGTCACATTTGGCCTTAGAGGTGGATTATAGATCTGTAATCTGTTAAATATCCCTAACAGTGACCTTTTTCCTGAAGAAAGGGCTTGTGCTCCACTATATTCTAGTTGGCTTAGATTCCTTCCTGCTCATTCGTATCCATACTTAGGAACCTGACAGGACTTGATGTAATTTTGGTGTAATTGGTGTAAGTTTTTTATTTCTGTGTGGGATACATCTTGCCAGGAGGCCCTTTTTACATATGACACAGGCTGTTTCCTTTTTTCTTGAGGCTAGAAGGAGTTGCTTTACTGCAAAACTGTCTCTGTAGCCCAGTTCATCTGCTTACTGATACGCTTAGAACAGAATGGATTCAGGTCAAGAGTTTGTTCCTGGTAAAGAATTTAGGTATCAGAATTAATTCCTATCCCCTCCCCTTTTTGGTAATACATTTATTTTTTGCTCATTAAAACAAACAAATAAAATACAGTACACTATTACAGGAGATACAAAGTTAATGATCATTCAAAAACAAGCCTATATTTGAAGGGGATCTCCCCACCTTTATGACATTTATTCCCTCCACTTCCTCAAAAAATGAGGTAACTTAGAATCTGAATCTGTATAGTTAGCCATGAAAGAGATCTTCTCCAATAATTAATTCCTGTCTGTCATGGAAGTACTCAATATTAGGAGTGTGCACCAAAAAAACCATGGCATTTTTTGGGTTTGGGTATATTGAACCTGAAAAATACTGGTATTTTCCAATATTCTTGAATCCCAATATTGGTATGGTATTGGGATTCGGGAAATAATTGGGATTGCTGGATTTTTCGGCTCCTTGGACCCTTTCTTCAGGTGGCAGTTTGCATGCAGATTGGAGAAGGTGTTTAAAGGTACTTATTATTTATTTAGTTATTTATTATTTATTTATTTATCTAATTTATACCCCGTCTTCCCGGCCAAGGCTGGCTCAGGTCGGCTTACATAAAAAGATGTATAAATTACAGTTAAAATGATCCTAAAACCTACTAAAACCATCTGACATAATAAAGTGCTATTAATCGTTGTTACTTAACGATGACAGCCGTTATTCAATAATCCATTCTCACAGTTGGCTCATAGATCTTTTCTTTAGGCGGCTGATACAGGCTGTTTTTGGACACTCCAGGGGGCGGGCTCTCTGTCCTTTAGCTGTTAGGGGGTAGCTCCTTGATTGAAAGCCTGGAGGAAGAGCTCCATTTTGCAGGCCCTGTGGAACTGCATGAGGTCCTGCAGGGCCCTGATCTCTTCTGGGAGCTCATTCCACCAGACCGGAGCCACCACCGAGAAAGTCCTGGCCCTGGTTGTAGCCAGCCTGGCCTCCTTGAGTCTTGGGAGGGCCAGTCAGTTTTGGGATCCTGATCACAGTGCTTTCTGGGGAACATATGGGGAAAGGTGGTCCTTCAGGTATGTAGGCCCCTGACCATAAAGGGCTTTAAAGGTGAGAACCATTACCTTGAAGTGAATCTGATATGCTATCAGCAGCCAGTGCGATGCTTCAGCACAGGTTGGATGTGCTCCGGCATAGGGAGACCCATCATAAGCCTGGCTGCAGTATTTTGCACTAGCTGCAGCTTCTGGATCTACGACAAGGGCAGCCTCATGTAGAGAACATTACAGTAGTCCAGTCTCAAGGTAACCATCACATGGATCACTGTTGCCAAGCCGCTGCATTCGAGGAAGGGAACCAACTGCCTGACCAGCTGAAGGTGGTAAAAGGCTGATCTGGCAGTGGCTGCGACCTGGGCGTCCATTGTTAAAGAGGAATCCAGGAGCACTCTCAGACTCCTAACCTCTGGCCTATCGAAGGTGGGGGGTGGGATCCCTACCCTCGGACCGCCCCGGCTCAGGCACAGGACCTCAATCTTCGTCGGATTTAATACTGATCCCTTTGGACGCTTTCTCCAGGTGGCAAATGAACTTGCCAAAACCAGGCTGCAGGAGAAGAAAGCCCCAGGAGCTGCTGTGCCACGCAAAGCACATTGTTTTGTGCAGTACAGGAGATCCTGGCTGGGGTCACTATCTCCTGTAGTCCTGTTTAAGACAGGCTTCAGGAAAAGGGAGCCCCAGGAGCTGCTGTGCCCAGTTTAAATCAGACTGCAAGAGAAAGCGAGCCCTGGATCTTCTATGTTGCTGGGAGCAATGTGCTCCATGCGCCACAGAAGATCCTGAGCTTGCTTTCTCCTGTAGCCCCATTTAAACTGAACTGCAGGAGAAACAAGCCCCAGGAGCTGTTGTGCTATGCGGAGCACATTGTTCCTGGCGGCACAGCAGCTCCTGGGCTCACTCCTGCAGTCCGATTTAAACCAGGCTGCTGGAGAAGCAAGCCCCAGGAACCTGCTAGTGAACTTGGAAGGCATTTAAAGGGCTTGCAGTCCCTTTAAATAACCTTCAACCGCGGCTATCCAGGTGACCCGAAAAATCCTGAATATTTTCGGGATTTTTTTCGGACTGGCTATTTTTATATAGCCATGTAAATGGGCCACGCTTACCTGGCTGAAAAAATATCCAGAAAACACCGACACAGTATTTTCCGGGTATTTGTCAGCTCAGCTTAGCCGAATATACGCACCTACTCAGTATTTGGTACTGACCACTTAAAACAAGTTGAGAAGGTGCTATATTTATACTCTGGAAATTATCACTGGTTTTCAGTGGGTTGCATGCCAGGCAGGAGGTTAAAGACAATGCAGAGCTCTTTTTTTGCCTTCTTCCTTTTCCTGGATATATATTTGTAAGGCTAAAACACTGTTCAATTACAGGTTTCCTTTTAAATTAAAGGACCTTAATAATAGCAGATTGAATAGCCTTTAAAGAAAGCCAACCATGGGAATAAATACACTTACTTGGTCAGTATTAGTGATCTGCAAGCTTTCTCTGACTCACTGTGGTATCCACTATTATTATTTTACTGTTTCTTGCTTCAAGAAGTTTTAGAACAATTAAGTCTTTGTGAGGATTTTTTCCCTGACAGCAGGGGGAAAAAGAGAGAACCAGACCTAACCCTCCCTCAAAGATGAAGAGACGACCCCTATTTGTTGAATAAGAGAAGGGGGTAATTAATAGCAGAGAAGGCTGAGTATGTTCAAGAGCATAAGATTTCCAGTTAAGGTTGAGAACTGCAAGCAAACTGGTTGCCTCTCTCCCTTTCTTTTTTTGCTTGGGAGAGGGCAACTACTGCTTGAGAGAGGGCGGAGAACCCTGTCTATGAGCTCAGCCCATGTGTGGGAGGATCTGTGTCTGACTTTTAATGGGGTACTGCTTTGTGAATGAGAGGAGGCTTTTTCTCTTTTTGTGAATTTTCCTCCACTATCAAGATATTGACTAAACTGAGATTGCAGAAACCGCTGCTACCGGGAGGCACCTGAGGGACATAACTCTAAGAATGGATAAAAGAGAACAAGTTCAAAGAACTGCAAACTTAGAAGTCTTTGAACGTCAGATGAGCTGATTATGCACTGTCTTTTGTGCTGAAAGTCTGAAGTGACATTTGTAACAAGCCCTTTTCCTATTTGGTTTAATCCCAGATTATTAAAATACCTTCACACAGTTAATCTTTTTAAACCTAAAAGTTATGCCTGAATTGCATAACTGAACCGCAGTGCATACTGTTGATCTCTTGGCGGAGGCTCTGTTCCTAAATGTCAAATGTACTCTTGAGCATGATATAAAAATTGTCAGTACGAATGAAGGGTTGATGTCTGTGGATTTTCTTCAGGAAGTCTCTGCCCTTCCTGTCCAAATGGTGCTAGAAATTATACTGGATATAACGATGCTCGTCACCCTAATCTTGGCATTAGAATAAAATCTGAAACATGCTTTTGAATCTGAAAACACAATATGTACATCTATCAAAGCTTAATTGATGTATCCTTGAAATGAACAGCAGGAAATAAATATGCCTCTAGAATATGGGGAATCAATGGCAGAGATGTCAGCTGATAAAATGAGGGTTTAGGATGGGCTTGGGTACAGTGGAACATTTAAAAATCTATGGATAATGTGTCAGATAAGGATGCCAGGCTGCTGGTTAGCATCCCCAGGAACTTTCTGGGTAGGGTGATGGCTGGAATGATATCTGGCAACACACGGCGTCACATCCATATAGATGATAATCTTTTTCCAAATAAAATTAAAATTACTGTTAAAGTTGAATGCAGCCTGGATATTTCACATGGATGTTAATAAAGCAGCTATCTTGCTTTAACACTTTCTCCCCTCTTTCTTACAGGCAATACTTATTGTTGTTACAGTTGCCTTTGTACAGGTAATAACATCTTATTAGTTTCATCCAAATGATTGATTTTTTTTCAGTAGAAATTTTTGTCTATTATTCTTATAACAGCTGAAACATTATTGTACATATCAGACGCTGTGATATATACTGTATGCCTTAGAAATCTGGCTGAGCAATTATAATGTCTGTGATCCCATAATTAGCATCACAACAGACTTGTGAATAATAATTGTTGTGGCATCTTAAACTGATCCATCTCTGTGTGGCATGAACTTTTGTGTTTGTCAGGAAACTCACTGAGAAAGCCTTATGTCATGTGGGTTTCTCTCATAAATGGGTTAAGTATGTTGCTGTCTTCAAATTTTATTTTAAACTTGCTGAAACTTGGTAATAAACTCTCACTTGAGCTTGCATACTATTAATGTAATATGCAAAGAATTAACATGTAAAAACCTGACTAAAAGTCTTTGGTGCTGTGCGCCAAGACATTCACTTCAGACAGCTAGTTTTGCAGTAATTAATGCACAACAACCTTTAAAGACATTTAAGGAAAATGAAGGGAACTTCTGTGTTTAGGGCACAAATACCAGCTGCAGTTTTCAAATATTGCAAGAGTCTGATGAGCATATTTTGCCTGCTGCATTAAATATGTATAACTTGCCCTTTTGAGAGATTCTTAAAAGTTTCAAGGAAGTGATACAATTTTCCTGGCATCTGAGATGAAACCATAGCCTATTGCCCTGTCTGTATTGGACTGAGGTCTGTCAGATATGTACAGTGCATATCTAAGCAGAGTTACACCCTTGTAAACCTGTTGACTTTAATAGCTTTAGAAGGTTGTAACTGCAATGTTGGGCATTTGGATCACAAATAATTGAGAAGCTGCACTAAGGGCCAGACTACGTTACATGCAAAGGCTTGTAACAGATGCCCATTGGCACTTTTTTGGTAGGCTGCTTTTGTCTCCTTAAAAGGAAGAAGGCAGAATTGGTTGTGGGTAGTATTTGGAATGAAGTCATGTGAGCACATCTCTGCTTCCTCTTTTGCACCATTTCTTCTGGAACAGCTTTCCCATGAGAAGCTGTAATATTTTTGTTACATGTATTTGTGTGTAATATGTAGATGGCCCTTCAAGAATTCATGTAAGAGTTCTTGTAGCTCTTCTAGTTTCAACCTTTTTGACTATCAAGGGATGGGGGGGGCAGTTTATGAGCAAGCATATCCTTGCAGTTACGTTTGTCTGTTTACAGTTTTGATAGCTACAGTAAAAATTGATATATTTAAATTTGGCATGTATCTGGCTTTCCCCGTAAGGTGGCTGTATGTCTTCATTACACTGAGGTGTGCGTTCAGCTATATCAGAGCCAAAAAAATAATCAAAAATTACTTTATTGGTATTTTCCGGCTATTTTTTCAGCCGAACATATTTTTGAGTATCTTTTTGACTATCTGGAATAGCCAAGCCCCCCAAAATCCCAAAAATATCCAGGATTTTTTGGGACCACCAGGTAGCTGAAGTTAAAGAGCGTTTAATGGGATTGTAGTCCCTTTAAATGCCTTCCGGGTGAGCTCTCAGCTTGAAGAAGGGGTGTGAATAAGGGGTTTAAAGGGATTGTGAGCCCTTTAAGTGCTTTCAGAGTGAATGTTCACCTTGCAGAAGGCATTTAAAGGGGCTGTAATCCTTTTAAACGTTTGCTACTATTGAAAACAATGGTGGATAGGGGCACCTTCTTTTGGGGCCCACAGAATTGGACCCCCTTGTTCAATTTTTTTGAAACTTGGAGGAGGGGTTGAGGAGAAGTCCCAGCAGCTGTGCTGCAAATTTGGTGCTTCTGCCTCAAAAAACAGACCCCTGGATACTCGTGGTTCGATTCCCCATTATAATGGCCTCCATGGGGTATAATGGAGCTGAAAAAAATCAGAATTTCTGAAAAATCCTGAATCTGAATACCATACCAGTATTAGGATTTAGGAATATTGGAAAATATCGATTTGGGGGGGGGGGTCAGTATACCTGAACCAGAAAAATACCATTTTTTTTTGCACAACCTTACTTTTCACTGCACATACACAGCAGTCTGTATGGAGAGCTGTGATTGCTGTTGCTTCCCAGATTTTGCTCCATAGTCTGTGCATCACTTTGTCTACTCTGGGGAAGGAAGAGGAGGATGAGGAGGAGATTGGATTTATACCCCGCCCTTCACTTACAAACTCCTTTCCCTTCCCCTCCCCACAACAGACACCCTGTGAGGTAGGTGGGGCTGAGAGAACTCTGACACAAACTGCTCTTTCAGGAACAGCTGTGCCAGAGCTTGTGACTGACCCAAGGTCACATCAGCAGGTGCAAGTGGAGGAGTGGGGAATCAAACCTGGTTCTCCCAGATTAGAGTCCGCACACTTAACCACTACACCAAACTGGTGCATGGTGACTTAGTTGCTATTGACTTAGCCATTGATAGCTTCTAGTGAACTAGCTCTTGGGGATGGTAGCCTGTGCTAAGATACTGGTTTTGATTTCACTGCTAAGACTTGGCCTGGTGACTGGTGCAAGGTCACCCAGCAAGCTTCCGTGGCAGAGTGGGGATTTAACTCTGGGTTTCCCAGGTTCCAGTCCAGCACTCTCACCACAGTTTCACAATACCCAGGCAATTCAGCCTTATCAGAGGGCATTGGGAGTGAGGGCTGCAGCTGGATCCTGTTACTAGTTTGCTAGCAATGTGCAGCTACCAATGAAGCTCTCTGTGCCAGAGAACAAATCTGCTCAGTGATTGGCTCTCCTATGTGTTACTGCTGCCCTTTTTCGAGCACTTGCAATGATAAAACATTTAAGGTTACATTTGTTTGGGGCAGCCCTTCAGAATCTCCCTTTAAGGAGAAATGTTTATTGCTAACCTCCCCAACAGATTAGCTTCTTGTGATAGTGACAAGTTTGGAAAGCGGCTTCAGTTTTTTCCTTGTTATGCCCCTGCAGGAATACAGATCAGAAAAATCTCTGGAAGAGCTGAGTAAACTTGTACCTCCAGGATGCCACTGGTATGGTGCAGCTTTTTATTATTTTTATTTTTATATTACTACTACTACTACTACTACTACTACTATTATATATTTTGGTTTTAAGTGCTGCAGAGGGTTATTAACTTTGTTTATGTGGTGTGCCTGGAGATGTAGTCTTGATTTCACTTTAATATGAGCAGTGGTTATCTACATTGCTTGAGGGAGCCTGTTACCCTTTTGTGACAGTGTACTTTGAACTTTTCAGCTAGGTTCTGAAATACCATAGCTGAACATAACTAACTTTTGAGTAAAAGGCTTGACTGCAAAGAATATATTCACCTGAGTAAGAGAAAGAATAATCGATGTAGCCATGCTTTTGAAAAAAGACTGGAGAGCATGTTGTCTGTTTAGAAACGTCAGCTGCTGAAGAACTTCATAGCTTCTTCGTTATTTCAGTGCAGTATTTATAGTGTGCTGCTGCTGTGTGGATTCCTGTATTTTAATTTATTTTCATTTTAATGTGTTACATTGCCTCAGGTGCTTGGAAACAGAGCTAACTCATAAATATAAATAAGCACTTCAGAGATCTTCAAAGACAAACATGCCTCTATTAATATGTAAATTGTTTTGTGGATAACGATAGTGTAAATTTTATCTTAACAGAATTTTAATTCCCCTCTGTCTAGTAGGTTTTGCACCTCTAGTCAACATAGCAAATTCTCACTAAAAGTCTAAAAAATCCTCGCTCTTAAATACACTTGAGTACACATAGGTCTGTCAGGAAAAAGGAAGACAGATTAATAAAGGCAGGCATGCTAGTCATTTTTGCCTTTCCCTGTGCGGAAGCTGAATTGCTGTTTCAAATCCGACACAAAATCAGACAAGTGGCTTCCAAATCGAGGTGCTTTGATTCACTGTATTGAAGCAACTGTAACCAATTGTATCTACATGGCATAACTGAAGACAGCATCCCATAACGCTGTGTTGGTTACTAAGCTGATATATCTAGAAGTGTTGTTTTAATTCTTCAAATCAACGTGAGCAGGTATGATTTTATTTTACGAGGCTTTCAGTTCTGAGTTGCAAGATGTATTTCTTCTCTCTGCAGTGTTCGAGAGGGAAGGGTGGAACATACACTTGCGAGAGACTTGGTCCCA